TTTAAAAACGTCAATAGTTAAAAAAGTACAGTGCAATTTAACAAAAGTCATTATTTAATAAAGCAAAATTTTATTTATTTATATTTCACTACGGCAGTCACATAATGATTGCAAGGTAGCTAGTTATTTATTATTTATTATTTATTATAATACAGCAACTTTTAGTTTTTTTATTTTTATTCTCATTAAAATATCAGCCATCTTGAGTCCATAATATTTTAAATTGATTAAATATAAACAAATCATTAAAATAGTTGAAATTTACTTAGCATATTTCAATCTATTAAATTATTATGAAACTTGTAGAAGTTTTGATTAATGAAGAGCAAACTTTGCTAACTTACTGACACTATATTCAATATTTTACCTCTAATTTCCAACCAGCGTATTAAATACTTACGCTAATACTTAACTAATTAGACAGCTAAAAATTAATGTTATGTCAAAATATGATTTTTTTTTATATTAAATTATTAATTTTTAATTATATGAAAATCAAAAAAATATTTTTTTGTTTAACAGGCAAATCCTGATATAACATCGCGATTCGCTGATAGCTCAGCGCCCTCCGGTGGTCATCGAGGTGGTGATTCACACAGCTCTTTCTCAAGTTCAAGTTCAAGTCAACGCATAGGACCTGACGGTAAACTCGTCTCTTACAAAGAAGTAATTACTGGAACAGATGACAACGGAAAGAAGGTTGTCCATGCCATCCATAGTTAATAAGCATGTTTTGTTTGTTAATTTAAAAAAATTCAATAAGAATTTTCTTTAAGTATTTCAATTAATTTTTTAAACGAAACTTTATGTATTTTATTACTTGTTGATATACTTACTACTTATTAAACGTTGAGAATATAATTATTAATCCACTGACAGCTGATTTATTTATTTAAAACTGGTAAATTGTATTAATTTTATTTATTCTTTAATAAATAAATTTCTCTTGATCTTTTTTAATTTTATTATTTATTGAGGATATAATATTTATTTATGGATTGTCTGAGCCTTTAACATTAAATAAAAAGTACTAAATAATAGAGAATACAGATCCATATTTATAGCAGTATTTAAATAATAAATAAAAAATTTTGATAAAATTTTACTGCTGGTCATTCAACGAAGTTTTACTCAGCGGTGGTTCGATTTTATCATCAATCGCATCTCTACTAGTCATCCAAGGTTTCCGTCCGTAAGATTCTCCTCGATACATTCGACTGATACCCACGTCATCGTTATTATTATTATTATTATTATTATTATTATTATTCTTGTTATTGTAATAATAAAAGTCCGCTTGCGGTCGGGAAAAATAATTCTTCGGAACACCGAGTGAAGGTTGAAAATTATTCGTGTTGTATCGCTGGTGAATCTTTGAGTAAATAATAAAATACACTATTATCAATTTTGTAATAAAACACAAGAGAAATAAGAATAATGTCAGAAAAAATAAAATAAATATCTTAAATTTTTTATGTAACTTTTACGTAACATCACAAATATGCGGAATAAAATTTAAAAATATTGAATCGACTTAAATTTTTTATTTTCGTTGAATAAAATAATTACATACCTGTGGGTTTATTGAATCAGGTGCATGATTATTATCATTATTACTATTAATAAGACCACGGAATCCATTTATGATCGGGACATCATTTACCTTTACTTTATTAATTTTTGTTACCAATTTAAATTGCACTGTCGTTATTAAATTTCCGAATTGATCTTTTTTTGACTTTACAGTTAAATCACAAATTTTATTATTTATTTGACTTTCATCTCGATTTATTAATAAACCGCTGTCTACTATGTCTAGCTGAATTTCGTTGATTATTGTTAATGGATCCTGCAAAAAATAATCATTAATTTTTTACACGTAAAATAAAACAAATATGTTATTAAATTTTTTATCAATTTGTAAAAATAAAAAAAACATGAAATATGTGAGTAAAAGTTTTATGAATTATTCAAAATTGTAAATTTAGTTGGTGGAAAAAATTTTATTTTGAAATTCACTTATGAGACAGGTCGTTTCGTTCTGTTTTTTATTTCAGCGAGCGATTATGCGGTGCAATAAATTTTTTTTAACATCGCACGGGCACTTAACGATCTGCCTTGTCTAAAATTTGAATGATATATTTTTGTGTCCCACACATGGTCCTAAATAAAATACATTTAAAATACTGCACATGTCATAAACTCAAAAATTATACTTGAAATAAATATTAATATTACTTGAAAAAAAAATAAATTTTTTTAAAGGAGCGATAAAATAATTTTTTATCTTTTTATAAGTTTTTTTTTCATCTGTTATTTTTTAAAATATTTTTTACAAAGTAGAATTAAAAAAACATCAATCAAATGCTCTAATAATGGCATTTTATTATTCGTCAACCATCATAAACTATAATAATAAAAATTACTTTAATTGCTCCATGATTAAAGAAAAAAATTATTTCAAGAATAATTCCTAAAATTTTTATAGTTCTTTCTAATGACGTTTAGCAAAAAACAGACTCTTAATTTACCCAAAACTTAATTAAAATAAATCATAAACAAATTTTTTATTAAAAAAAAAAAAGAAAAAAACCCTAGACTTACTTTAGAGCATAAAATTTTTTTATGACAACCCTCGGCCTCGTTTATTCTCAGATCCACGGCTCCAGAGCCCTGGTCAAAATTAACAAAGTTATTCACATTAAACCGATCATTATTCGCATTCAAGTCTATTTTATCCGACACTTTAACAGCCTCGACTATCACGAACAGAAATCCAATCATTAAAACCTTCTTAGCCATCTTAAATCACCTAAATATGTCAGTTGTAAAACAAATTACTTAGTAGACTGAATTATTTAACGAAAATAACAATGTAAATAACTCCAAGATCTTTATTTCTGAACTCAAGAAGGGATAATTATTTTCGGATGTAAGATAAAGCGAATTGCATCTTCATAATTATTGTTACAATAGCAAATCTTAAAAACAAAAAAAATTACTACACAGAGAGAAAAATTTCTTAATTGGAGAACAAAATTCTTGGCTCAAGAAAATTTTCGGGTGCCTGAAGGAAGACCGAAGTTTTTCTTGAAATTCTATTCTTGGTGGAAGTCATCTTTTCTTAATTCAAATTATCATAAATATTTGATACAATAAATTTTTATATTTGATCAAGATTTTTAGATACTTTAGGGAAGCAGCGCCACCTACTTCAGCTGGGAAAAAAATTTTCTCACATTGAGAAAATTTTTCTCTTGAATATTTGATACCCATTTTATATTATTTTAGCGTGTAATTATACATATTGAATGAAAAAAATTTGACATGTTAATCAATAAAAATATTAACGAAAATTTACTTTTATCTTTATATTTAATTTTTTGAAGCAAGAGAGAAATTTTCTCAAGACAAGAAAATTTACTTCTATCAAGAACTAAATTTTTTGGAGCAAGAGGCTGAATTTTCTCAAAACAAGATTTTCTTGACTTAAATAAATTTTCTTGGATCAAGATACGTATTTCTTAAAGCAAGAGAATTCATTTTGTTGAGATAAGTGAAATTTCTTGTGTCAAAAAAAATTTTTTTTTTTTCGCTCGAGAAAATAATTAGGAAGAAAAATATTTTCTTGGCTCACGAGAAACTTTTTTCCTCTGTACATATTTTTAAAAATAATTCTTGAAGATAACTTCCTCGTAATAAATTAAAACTGCTGATTGGCAATATTTTTACCTTATTCATTAGCTTGATTTTTCTACTCCATAAATTACGTCCGGGATATCCAGCATAAGCATCCCTCGAGGGAGCGCCGTCTTTTCATATAATATTGTACATAAGGCGACTTGGTGAGGCTAAAGACATAAAAGAGGTTGATGTAGCTTCATGTGATTCTGAAAGGAGAATTGGCTGGTGGTAAATGGCCCGTTGACTTGTCGTGTGTAGAAGGGCGATCGTGAATGACATTATTGTGTCGCTCGTTAATACAATATACGCAGTGTAGACTACCCGAGCTGAAACTTGTAGACTGTTGGGTGCATGTGTGGAATATAATACCAAGTACCGAGCAGAGAGCATAGAGTGCGGACAAGAACGAGCACTAAAGCCCAGTGTGAAAGACAAGAGACGCAGCGTCGACGAGTGTGAGGGTAACACGGTCTTACAGGCAAAGGCAAAATGCACCCTCCGGACACTCGTGATTGCACTGAGTGTAGTTGGGTTAGCGATAAAGCAATTTTAGATACTGCGTCTGGTCCCTGGCTCTTAATGTTTGACTAAGGCTAATGCAAACAAAGGGTTACATCGCTCCGCTGTTCCACCCCCGCTTCAGCCCACTTCCTACCCAGCGCTCATTTAAGTCCATCGGAATTCATTAGCCGGACACTTTTCAGAGTAGTTTTGTCTCTCTTGTCCTCTTTTATCCCATAAAATTGTTAATTTTTTATGTAAAGTATTTTTTCACTTAAATTTGTGGGGGTCATGTCTTCCACCCACTCCCGGATAATTTAATTATTATTATTTATAATTATTAATATTATTTAATTATTATTGTATGACTCGATTATTATCGTTTATGTTTATTAATATTATTTAATTTTATTATTTATTAATAATAGTTAAATAATATAGTTATTATTTAAGTTGAAGTTTTTCTACAACGACATTAAGGATTATGTTAGAAAAGCTTAGTTGTGTCGCATCACCATAAATTATACTAGATTATAATTTACTTGGTGATGCCAAACAACTGATAAAGTCTCGGCCGCTGCAAAAGTATTTTTTGGGAAATTTTATTTTATTGTAATTGTATTGCAAGTAATAAAATTCACAGTTGCAGCTGACGAGACCCTAATAAAATTTATTCTAATAGGATTAAAAATATGTAAAATTAGTCGGTAAGAAGCTTAAGGGTTTTTCCCAAATATTTCTACAAAATATTCTCAATAGCATACATTTTTCTAAAGAGCAATTAAGGGATTAAAAACTTTTGTCGCCTGGCCAGCGACCGGACCCAAGATCTCACTAAGTGCTCTCTCTCTCTCTCTCTCTCTCTCGACCTATACCTGTATGTCTATCTATTTCTTATAACTACAATATCTCTACTTTTCCATAATTTGTATATACCTAGAGCATTTATCCTGTACATGTACCTACGTATATGAATTCTATAATTTGTATCTACCTAGAGTATATCACGTTTTCATACTTACATACAACTAAGTACTCCTACCCTTAATATATTTCCTCGATACTTCCATCGAGTACCCCCTACCCCTTGGGAGGTCGGGGCCCTAGATGGACACTTAAAAATTATCAGTAAGGTTCGACACAGGGACCCATAAGCTTCGTATCGCCTGATTCTAGCTTCACTTCGTTTAAGTACACGCGTGTATTAGTAGTTGAATTTATTTAAATAAATATTATAATTGAATATCTTCGTTTACTTCACAAAAATAACTCAACGCCCTAACATCCCAAAAAT